TCTTTTTCTTCTTCTTCTTCTTCTTCCTCCTCCTCCTTTTTTTTTTCTTCATGTAGCAAAACCTAGTTTGGAAGCCTATGGTCTAAACCACCATGTGGAATATGCAGCAAATATTTCTTTATTAAATTATCATTGCAAATTGAGTTCAATTGCTTTTATTCCATATTGCTTGACCACTTAAAAAGCTTTTTAGAGCCTTTCCACATCGCAGAATAAGGCCTAAATTTGGGGACTGTGTTAGTTTGCTTCTCTGTTGCTGTGATAAGATACACTGAGCAAAGATAACTCAATCGAGGAAAAGACTTTCATTTCCAAGTCACAGTCCATCTTTGAGAAATGTCAGGTGGGAATCCAGAGGGAAGGACCCTGGAGGGGTCTGCTTCCTGGCTTGCTGTTTAGCTCATGCTTAGTTGCCTCTTTATATAGCCCAGCCTCATCTGCCTAGGGATGGTGCCACCCACAGTGGGCTGCATCTTCCCACATCAATCATCAATACAATCTTTCAACAACATGACTGTATGACAATATGCTCAGGCATTTGTTCAATGGAGACTCCCTCTTCCCAGGTGACTCTAGTGTTATGGCAAGTTGATGAGAAAAACCTAACAGCACAAGGCCTTTATCAATGTTTGGCTTTTTTTTTTTCTAAAAACTTCAGAATTTATCATGTAGGCCTGTTTGTAAGGCACATGGCTCAAGGGTCTAAGTGTCAGCTCTTGTACTCTCCTTAGTATCAAAGAGCCAAAGAGTGCATACTTAAATTTTGTGTAGTTTGTTCTGTATACATAGCTCGAAGGCGTTCTAGTTCTATCTAGAAGGGCTGGCTTTTGCTGATCACCTTCTGACTGGGTTCTCAGCAGACATAAATGGATAGCACACAATGATTCCACACACAGAGTGGTGAGTGCCTGAGCATCTGTGGATCTAATAAGCATTAGCTATTGATACTGTTGCTCCCATCAGAGAGTGGAAATGTCCTAGAGATGGAAGACCCTATTTGTGGGTCCGACTCTTCAGCTCATTAGCCATATGCTCTTAGAAAGTCCAGATGGATTCTGTAGGCCTCAGTTTTCTCTTCTAGAAAACCATGGGGCATTATGTCCTCAGACCTCTCTGACTTCAAATTTTATGTTTAGTACCAACATATTAAGAAAATTCATGCTTAAACGATAGACTTTTGATCACTTTTCTTTTTAAAACTTGTGCATTTCTACTTTTTCCTAATATTTTACTGGCTCACAAATACAGTAATATATGAAGCTATACTAATAGTCCTATCTATGTATCTCATATAGATGCCAGGATACCAAGAGCAAAAGCATAAATGATCTCACTTATTGTCAAATGCGTACTGGGAGTTCGAAGTCATTACTTAATGCCACTTGGAATGAGAAATTTAAGGCATATCGAGATGAAGTAACTTTTTAAGAATTAAATTTTAGGTTAGCACACAACGTCATGGGCTTTAACATGAAATCCTCATGTGTGTATGTCATCATACCTTCTCTCCTGTCCTCCTCCATACCCTCTCTTCTCCAGCTAGTTCCCTTCTTTTAACAGCTGATCCCAGTCTTGAAATAACTTTAAAGGCACCTAGTAAATTACATTACCAAGATGGGAACCACCATCTATAAAGGGATAGCCAACTATGCTGCTTCTGTTTAACCCACTTCAAGGAAATGGCAACACGGTGCCATTTGTGTTTGAGCGTGGGTGTTTGTGTTTACATACAAAGTACGAGACGCTTCAGAATAAAAAAGACCCATTTCAGGCAATTAGGTGGATCATCAAGGCCAGTGCTGAAAAGACCATGATTAGAATGCTTCCAGAATGTTTCTCTTTTCTACTGGTTAAATTTTTAAGGTTTGCCTGTGTCATAGCTGGCTGAAAGTCTGTTTGCCATCTGTTGTGAAAACTCTCCATCGCCTGACTGTCCGAGTGCAATCACACAGTGTATACGGGTGGCACCCTGACTGACTTGAGCTGAGATCCTGTGGGCCAGCAACCCACCATCAATCTAGCTATTCTCCTCACTGTTACCCAGTGTCAATAACAGATTTCAAGCAAAACTCTGCAGACTTGGCCTCCTACCAATTCACGCTGCCTGACTTTAATTGCTTCTTAATCCTTTCATTAATCTCTTGTTGATCCTCTAACAGTCTGCACATGAGCTATTTCAAAACTGGTCTCACTCCCAGTTTCTGGTCTCAACCTTGCCTTTCATTTCGAGGTGGACAACTTCTCTTTCAAGCAGCAGCAAAGACTGAGACTGTCTGTCCATATCATACAGTTTCCTTAATGTGATCTTTTGTCCTTTGTGGGTTTTTGATGTGGTGGTTGTGGTTGTTGTTTTGAGGCAGGGTCTCGCTTTGTAGCTCTGACTGGCCTGAGGCTTACTGTGTAGATCAGGGTGGCCTTGAACTCACAGAGTTCCACCTGCCTCTTCCTCCTGAGTACTGGGACCAAAGGCAGGTACTGCCATGCCTAGCTTCTTTGTGTTTTGTAACCAACTGAGAATGAATAGCTTGTCAGTGTTAAGGCTGTTGCTCATGCTTGAGCACTCGGTGTGATGTCCTAGTCACTTGTTTTTCTCTGCCTTCTTAGTCTCTTCTCTATTGGATCCCTCTTCCATGTGAGAAATTACTCTGTCCTGTACCTATTTGCCCATCTTTCTCTACGTCTCCAGAATTGCTATTCAATGCTTACACATTTGTACCAGCCACGAATGTCACACCATATTGATTTTGCTGCGCTCCATCTTATTGGAGCTATTTCTGACAAATGCCCAGCAGATGTTTTCCATTTGTAATGAATGATCATGATATTTCATAATTCCTTTTCACATGTCTTAAACACTAGCCTTGCCTGAGAATACCCTTTCTCAGGGAACTTTTCCTCCTTCTTAAGATCTCATAGCTCTTCAGACTTTTTCTTTCCAGCTCCCACCCACAGGATCGTTTGTTTCACAGTGAATGACTTAAATGTTAGACCATGAACTTGTCTTTCTCCTGTCTTAATAGTAAGTCCTTCAGATATGTGTTAGTTGGGGACCATAGGTTCATTCCATCCAAAACGAGTTTTATTCCTCTCACATTTGCTCTCTTTTCTCATATCTTGCATAATAGAACTGCGACATGAGCATCTAGTTTGCCCCAATTCCTCTTCATCTCAATCCAATCAGATACCACTTGTCTGATTACATTAATTTTTATGGTGCATAAGAAATTAGGACCAATTTAGCTACTAAAGCAATGAAGAACCACCTTCTCACCTTTACTCCATGCCGGGATCTCAGACAACTGTTAGTGATATCTGCAATATGCCTACAATAAGGATGTTGGCTAA